CGGAAGAGAGTTTTTCCATGTTGGGAACCTGGTGACAGCTAGCCACTAAATGAGTTTAGAAGTCATGTGCAATTACAGCTTGGGGCTATAATGTGTTTAATCTGCCAATGCCAGTTTAAACACAGTACCTGGATATCATATCCTCTCAGTTCTTTCTTTTACTTCCTCCTCTGCCCCTAGTCCTCCCTGCCACGCAAATGTTAGTGCTCGTCCTCAGGGTAGGAGGAACTCAATCAGCAATGAATTTTATTTATTTTTATTATTTTTTTTAATTTACTAGGACACCTGCCATAGATGCTGATCTGGGTTCCCAAAAATGTATCTTGGCACAACATAGGGAATAGTGCAGGGACAGATGCAGGGGAGGTGTGGGAGGCTGGGATCCCCCCCACTGCCTCGTGTCAGCCAAAACGTGTTTCTGAGGCTGCTTCTCTGTGTAACTCTCCCCCTATCACTGGCTGCCTCCACTTGGGGTACTGGTGCACTTGTTCCTCCTCGTTTGCTGCCCAGCATGGGCCAGTTTAGCCACTTAGGAAGTCACAGCGTTACTCTGTCAGCTTGACGTTAGGAAACGCCTGGCTAAATGCTGGAAATAACAGAAGTTCCTAAGCAGGGAAAGCAGCTACGTACTGCAGCTACTGTGCCTACGTGATGGGACTCCTAGTAGTTAAATAACTGAGTTTGGTGCCTTGCTCCTTCTGAGAGTGGGAGGGAAGCTGGTGCATAACTTGCTCAGGAGTTAGTGTGCATCCCACTGGTTGCTTCTAGCCTATAAACGTGGAAGTTAACTGTTTGTGTCACATTGGTGTTCGGCAAAAATGTACAGTTACTGAATGTACGCTGTCTGGTGTCATCGTTGGCTGTGTACCCCCCGCCATACCGTTATATATAGGTGAGCCTTGAGAATGTGAGCATTGAGATAGAGGTCGGGGCCTGTTTTGGTGTATATTTTGGTGTTGTATTTTGAAGGAACAGTTTCTAACTGCTAGTGAACTTGATTTTGATTTAAAGACATAAAATGACTTTCTTTTTCCCTGCTGTCAGAGAAAGGAGTTACAGTTCTTCTCCTTTATGAAAAAGGGTGCGTATACATTTATATGCAGGTGATAGGTTTTTGTGTTTAAGTAAATATATCTGTTCCAGGCAACTAATTTTGCAAAAAATAAAATCCATCCTTTTAGGTTTGAACTTTATATATTTTATAATGCTATTTTTTTTT